ATGTGGACACACGTACTATATGGTCTTAGCAGCTGTCAATTAAAAATTGTAGGACCTGGCTACGTATATTTCGGCTAAAATTGAATCTTTAGTACTTTTTTGGTTAAAATGTGATTTTTTAAGCTTCATAGTACTTCTGTAATAATTTTACTGAAAATATTGTTTTGCTTAGTACTATTTGAAATACCTTTCATACTTTTGCTTGCAATCTTTTGTAGTAGTGTTCTTAATAATTTGTAAATCAGTGCTAATATGAGCTAACGATTATTTCAACCGCTAGAAGAACACAGTTTTACTTTTAGCTACTAGCAAATACGACTATTGTGGCTTCCTACTCTACCCCACACAAACTACTCCACCACGGCGAAACGAAGAACGTATTGCTTTGTCGACCCTTAGCGAAAGGGCGCACTTTCCAACATGATACGTAGCGTCCATTCAGGGATCTGGGGGCCGAGTTTGTGGTTAAGGTAGCGCGGAGGCACTTAATTGAACAAGAACACATAACACGGAGGATCACCAAGGCAGACTATATACACAATGGAATAGATTGAACAACACGAAGCACGGAAGGCCACGGACGTTGAAAGAGGACTAGATCAATGATGGCACCTAACGATTATGAAAAGCACGAACCACGGACGAGCTCGCTACAACATAAATTTGGAAGGCCAAGAACATGACGGGAATGTACCGAGGACGGAACGGAACTGAAGTAATGACACTCTAACATGCTGAAAAGTACGGGCTTCGAAAGAGCTCTCACGTTCGAAGCCAACGGTAGAACACGTATCGGTGGGAGTGCACAACAACAATTCTTCAAAAACACCACATTAAAACATGGAGCACAGTCAACAGACCAAACATGAACCCGCAAAAGAACATAAACGGGTGATCACCGAGCATTAGAACACGATATAAGGGTGAACCGGAGCTCACCGAGTCCCAGAGCACGATACTACGGTAGCTAACGATCCCAGTGACGACAGACCAACCGCGACTCCAGAAGTTAGCACGATAGCACTAAACATGGAAGAACGCAGCCGCGGATTTATAGACGGGAAATTATCGAGCCACGGAGAACGATACCAGTGTAGAACCTGAGTTCCCCGAGCCACGGAGGACGATACTACATTAGAATCCGATTGCCCTGACGTCAGACCAGCCACGAGACTACGGAGGACAAACTAACATGGACGGTGCCTCAACCACTTAATCATGGAAAATCAAGTTGCCACGGGAGCTATAGACAGGAGATCACTGAACCAAGAACCACAATACCAGTGTAGACCCTGAGATTACCGAGCCCCGGAAAACAATACTACATTAGAACACGATTGCACGGACGGCGGACAAGCAACGAAGCACGAGAGAGCGCTTCGGAGCCACGATTGCACACTGTCGAACACGATAACACGGGTACCGCAGATAAACTACGCAGCACAATACCAAAGTCAGCCTTACCATACCGCGGTTGCACGATAGCGTGATAGCGCTATCGATGGAACCTCACCAAGAGAGCCCGATGCAACGGACGACGGAGCAAAACGACTGCGTGGAGGCACCAAACCACGGAATAGCACCCTTCGGCAAGAGTATTGGCGATGGGAGGCCACAGACCACAAAAGCCTACGTACCTCGACACCTGGGCAGCCGATGTAAGTGTTTGAGCACAGGGAAAAGTTAGCAGCCACGAAAGAAGGCTTAATAAAGTACATGAACCCAATAGAGATGGTGCATAACCACTAAGCAGCATGGACGACGAGTGAGCAGGAAACCACGATGCCGGGAAGAGCACGGAAGCGTACGGGCCATTGAAGACCACGACCATCCAATCTGTGATACGGGGTAACAGAAGCGTATCAAGCCACGATATGAAACGGGTCCACATGAGACTACGGAGTGGTAAGTGGTTAAGTACACGAAGCCAGGATATACTGGGTGTGAGCGACGCTCCCAAAAGCGACACCAAGAAGCTCTTAAATTTGCGGTCACCTCATCGCCAGCAAACCATGCCACTCCGCCGCGTAGCAACGGCGACCAGCTAGTCAAAGCTCCCTAATGGAGTGTGGCGTCTGTCCGTCTGTCCGTCCGTGACGACTAAGGTTCTAAAGTGTAATGCAAATACGCGCGCTCTACTGGCTGCCGAGCACAGCGAAGGCGGTCTCGATTCGCTAAAATTACATTATGTGGTGTACACACTGTATGTGACCTACATATCGTACTTAAATGCACCGTTAAAATTTTCGCCCCATTTTTCAATCGCGGAGCAACATGACATGCGAATGGCGCTCCCTGTGTGTGCGCGTTAGTGCATTTATAGGAGACGCCGATGTGCACACATATACTATATCGTTAGGAGCTGTTGAGAAAAAATGGTATGGAAAGGCGACTAACGTTTCGGCTAAAATTTGAGCTTCAGTACTCCTTGCAAAAAAAATGATGCTATAGCTTCGTAGTACTTCTGTAATAATTTTTATTACAATATTGCTTTGCCTAGTAGTACTCCAAATATCTTTCATTTTTTTCTTGCACTTATTTGTAGTAGTAGTACTTGTAATTTTTAAATAAGCACTAAGTAAATTAACAAACTGCTTCCACTAATATTTAGAGCTAGAAACTTTAAAATATGACTAGTAGTCCCACACACACACCACTTGCCGGTGCGAATAAAAATAACGTATTTCTTTGTATTTGCGCACGTAGTGTGCGACCCTAAGCGCATGTGGGCCCTTTTGAACACGATGCCTTGTGTACATCAAACGCACTGGAAACAGGGTTTGTGATTGAGCTCGCGCAGAGGCCCGTGATTAAGCAAGAACACGAAACGCAGAGGAACACCGAGACGGACTATGTACACGATGGTATATTAGGAGCAACACGAAGCACGGACGATGAAAGAGGACTAAATCAATGAAGGTGTCTAACGATTCTAAAAAGCACGAATCACGGACGAGTACGCTACCATGAAACCTTGGAATGGCAGAAAATATGCTGGGAGCGTACGGATTACGGAAAGTAACTGAAAACATGACAGCCCAAAATGATCAAAAACACGGCCCACGGAAGAGCACGCACGTTCACAGTCACGGTAGATCGCGTAGCTATGAGAGCGCACGAAAAGGAATTCTTACACCACGGTAGAGCACGAAGCACGGCCGACGGACCAACTTGAAGCCACGGTAGAGCATAAACTGGAAATCACCGAGCATTGTAAGACGATACTAGGAAAGAACCGTAGTGTCACCAAGCCACGACACACGATTCGACGGTAGCTCACGATAGAACGATAGCATGGACGATGGTCCAACCACTAAACCATGGGAGAACAAGGAGCCACGGGAGCTGTATAGACGTGAGATCACCGAGCTACGGAGCACGGTACCAGTGTAGACCCTGAGATTACCGATTCACGAAGGACAGCTGTACATTAGAACACGACTGCCCGGACGGCATACTAGCCACGAAATACAGCGATGGACGACTACGATTGCACACTGTGGAGCACGAAATCATTGTAGAACACGATAGTACGGGTATCGCTGATACACTACTTGAGCACAATACTATAGACATCATTACCACACCGCGATTGCACGATAGTGTGATAACGCGGTCGAGGCACTTGCAAAGGAGCAACACGACTGCGTGTAGGCACCAAAACCACGGAATAGCACCCTTCGTCTAGAGTACCGGAGATGGGAGGTTAACGACCACGAATGCCTAAGTATCACGAAACCTGTGCAACCCACATACACGTTTGAATACCGGGAGTCATTAGCATCCGCAAAAGAGACCGTACTAAAGAGCATGAACCCAATAGAGAGGGTGCATAACCACTAAGCAGCGTGGACCACGAGTAAGCAGGGAACCACGAGTGAGCAGGGAACCACGATGTCGGGAAGAGCACGGTAGAGCACGGGTCATTGAAGGGCATGACACCCAACCTGTAGTACGTGTATCCTAGTCGGTATCATTGCCTCCCGTCCAAACCGTTACAATTCCCGTCACGATTCGGAATGTCTGGATCCAGATCGGTCGTGTTCGGAGTTACAATGTCAGTAATCCAGAACAGTGTCCGGGAGTCACTTCTCGTCTTGTTGTTCTTGGACAGCACTTCACAACCATGGAGATACAGATTGCCGAAGCTGTTGCGACTCGAAGCGAAGAGAGGATGACCAATTCTGAACGGGCCTGCTTTGGCGTATGTGTAAGTGATGAACATATGCTTGTAACACATGGGACATTAGGTGTAAATGCGTGAATTGAATCACATTGCACTTTTGAGTCAGTATTTCTATTTACACTAGCCTTAGGCGCTCAACCGGCAAAAATATTAGAAGATGAGACCCTCAATATCAATTTTCGGCACCTTTGAGAAATAGAGACCGTAGTGATATATGAAATGATCAGTTCAGCCTGTTGTCGCTACGGGAATCGAGAAGGGTGTATGCTTTTTTGAAGGAATTGACACTGCTGTCTCGGATCCTAACTTCTACCCTTCAGCACTTAAAAACGTTCTTTCCCAGGTCTCAAAAGGTGTATTATACGGCCTTCAGTTATAAACGGGCGACGCGTATACGTTCATCATACTGCTTGTGGAGACGCTTCAACAGCTTACAATCTAGTGCACCACGTATTTCCAATTCAGTTCGTCAAAAATAGAATTGAAGAAGCTTTACCTCGTCTTGAGGGTCATATTTTGCTTCGTTATTGAGAAAGCCGCCCCTCCGACTTGTCAGATCCAGGCTCGCATATTCTTACCGGTCCGACTGCGAAAGCATTACTCGTCGGGCTTCCTGCGCTATACGCCAGGGGGTTCAAATACGTCCGTCCATCTTTTGACGACACCTAAAATTGTAGACGAAAAGCCTTTCTATACCAATGTAGCTTATAAATTATAAACACTGTAGAATGAGTTCATCACTGTACTTCTGTTGTCAATAAAGGTAAACACTTGCCCATTACGGTACTACGTTGTGGATTCATCACTTGAAGCCATGGTCGCAGATGTCTCGCGGTCAGCACAAGCTACGGGGGCAGCGACGGCTCCTGCTCATGCAGCGACGGGAGTTACGGAGTCTCCGAATAAGCGATACCACTCGCGGGGAGCAGTGCGGCACAGACGGAAGGGTGGGTGGATCGAGGTTAGACGGCGGAGGAGGAGGAATAGGTCCAGCAACTACGTCTAGAGTATCAGGTACATTGAACTGCAATGGCCGGACGCCAGCCGAGTGACGGAACGAGCGACACTTCCGGCATCTGGTTATCGGTTAGTGAGTACAAGGAGCTATGTCCCACGATCCAGGCCGTGGAAGGCCTTGACTATTGAAGACGGTGTGTAACAATTGGCTGACGCCAGCGTCGGCTGTGCTACAGACTATGGAAAGTCGGTGGCGAGGACAACCAAGGGGATGGTACAACCTTTGGTAGAGACGCACAAGTCGTACTTCGAAAGCGAGGTGCCGCGGAGGAGGGAGTTCGGTTCGCAGACGGACAGGCCGACGCCAGGGACGTCGCAAGGAAGAGGGTGGTATCGCGAGTGGTCATGATCTTGTCGTGACCGTCGTGCAAGGAACGGCTATAGGGAGAGCTGAAGCTGGGCGCGGCTGGATCTTGCGGCTGGGAGCAGGTGGATCACATCAAATTTAGCGGCGACGAGCACAAGTCGAGTGTTGCGTCCGGCCAGAACAGCGTCGATAACATGAGAAAGGTGAAGAAGGAAACGGTGTGTGTGCGAGGAGTGAGAGGGTTAAGGATACGTTGGGCGTGAGGTTGCATTAGAGCAAAGTAACGGCGGGCGAGGACACACGCGCAGACGATATCAGCTTCAGCTGCCGAAGCGTCGCCGAGTAGCCTTTCCGGATGAAGTCAAGGAGGTTGTAATAGTCGGTGGGGCTGTTCTTGCCGATTGTTGCTGCAGGGACGTTAAAAAGAAGAATGGAGCAGAGGTTAAGGAGACAACAAATAGGTCATTGGGTACAACATCCGACGGGGGCGCAGCTGTAAATCTCGCCTGGCCCTGATGCGACACACGTGAAGGTAGACCCGTAGCGGTGATGCCTTACAGTATGTACCAGCATGTGAGCAGTTAATTCTTAAGATTGTAATCTCTTTTTAGATTGTATGAAAATTGCTAAGGCATTTTACGAAGTCCGGACAATTCTACTGAGCAACTTTGATCCGTATGAAGCTATTGTAGACTTCGGACCCCAAGTACAAGCCTTTTAAGCTTACAAGAGCAGCTCAAGTCTCATGGTAAGCCTGAGCGGTCATGCAGATAGCCCCCAAACGC